GGAAGAGGAGGAGGTAAATGCATATTGAGATGACAAATGTATTAGTCAGGGTTCTCCAGAGAAACAGAACCAACAAGATGTACGAATGTGTACATATATACATACATATACATATATGCACACATATATATGTATGTATATACATATATATAAGGATATTCAAGAAATTGGCTTATACAATTATGCAAGCTGAGAAGTCCCAAGATTTGCAATCAGCAAGCCAAAGGCCCAGAAGGGCTGATGGTGCAGTTTTGGTCTGAGTCCGAAGGCCCGAGGCCCAAGAAGAGCTGAGGTTTCGATTTGAGTCAGAAGGTGGGGAAAAGATGACCCAGCTCAAGCAGTCAGGCAGGACGAGTTTCCTCTTGCTCTGCCTTTTTGTTCCATTCAGGTCTTCAATTGATCGCATGAGGTTTACCCACGTCGGAGGCGGCAATCTGCTTTACTCAGTTGATGGATTCAAACATTAATCTTATCTACAAACACCCTCACAATCACACCCAGAATAACCTTTGAGCAAATGTCTGAGCACCCCTTGGTCCCAGCAAATTGACAGATAAAATTAACCATCTCAGCAACAAGGAGTGTCTGTTGTACAGGACACAAGACGCAACATTAATCAGGATTTCTCTGTAGAGTACGAGGGTCAAGAGTGCCTCCGCCTGAATCTAGCCTCTCTTACTTTCTAGCTGCATGTCTTGGTTAAGCTGTTTAACTTCTCTGAGCCTCCACTGCAAAATGCAGGTAATAGGCCTGGCGCGGTGGTTCATGCCTGTAATCCCAGCACTCACTTGGGGTCAGGAGTTCGAGACCAGCCTGGCCAACATGGTGAAACCCCATCTCTACTAAAAATACAAAAATTAGTCAGGTGTGTGTGTGTTGGGGGGCGCCTATAATCCCAGCTAATTGGGAGGCTGAGGCGGGAGAATTGAACCCAGGAGGTGGAACAATGAACAGAGTAGTGAGCAGAGATCATGCCACTGCAGTCCACCTTGGGCAACAGAGCGAGACTGTGTCTCAAAAAACAGACAAAACACAAAGTGCAGAGAATGGGAGGAACCTACATTATAGGGTTGAGGGTGAATTTAATGAGATAATATGTGTGAAGTTCACAGCACAGTGTCAGACATGTTAAGTGCTTAGCACATTGTAGCTGTTATTATCATGATCATTTGATCACAAACTGTGAGGTTACTGCTTGCTATTGATGTATTTATTGTCTCTCAGCTCCCCTAATTCATTCTTAAATGTTTGCTCCTCCACAATAGCCTGGACTTTTACAGCATTTCTGATTTATGCTGATCACAGAGCTGAGCTTTCCCAGTAGAGGGGGCGAAGAAACATCGCAGGAGAAAGGGGCTTCTCTTACTGGTTCCAGCTGCAGCACCACTGGTCAGCGCTGAGGGTGTGAGGTGTCATGGGTCAGGTAATGGGATTCTCAGACACTGGGGGAGGCTTTGGGACCCGGGTAAGTTTTCCTATTCTGGCCACAGGGAGAGTGCAATTCTTCCCAAGCTGATCTTAGGTGATGGTGCCCCTAGTGGTGAGCGTTCCAACTGCAGCAGGGAGCATAAGGCTCTGGATTCTGAACCCAGGCAGTCCCTGGTGCCATGGAATTTATGGCTCCCATGTCACCTGCTCAGTGGGGCCTCCCTCAACCACTCTGTTTCATAACAAAATCCCCCCCCATTTCCCCTGTCTACTTTATTTTCCTCCAGAGCTTTTCAACATACTCTATCTCTTATTTGCTTATTTTATCGTCTCCCTCTTTAGCTCCACGAGGGTAAGGCTTTTTGCCTGTCTTGTTCACTTAGAAGTATCTAGCGCAGTCACCTGGCACACAGTAGATGCCCAATAAATATCTGTTGACCCGAGCTGCATGCAGGTCAACCATGCTCTCCTGCCCGTGGCTACTGCACCAAATACCATGGAGTCTTTTATCTTGGAGGAAAAGCTCCAGGTCTTCAAGGACCAGCACAGGTCAACTTCCCAGGCTTCGTGCTTGGCAGGAAAAGGAAAACTGTGGGTTTTGAAAAATGATTCCCTAGAGTGAGGCTCAGGCACCCTACCACCTTTCTAAAGTACTCCAGTTAACTTAGGGAGGAACTAATGGATCAATCACTTTGGCCCTCAGGTTAGAATCCTGGCTGCCACTCACTTGTTAAATGAAGTGGGATGAAACCCCCTGTAGGCTTGGCTTTGTCGATGTCGTGAGGATCGTAGGGTTAGGGTGGGGTGGAAGGAGGGTCAATAAGATCACGTAAGCAAAGCCCAAAGCCCTTAGTGCAGTGCTTGGCACAGAGTAGGTCCACAATATATGATTATTTTTGCTCCCAAGCAACCATTTCCCATTATCCTGGGGGACTTGCTGGACACTGTGGGGCAGGGGGTTGTGATTGAGACCCCTCTCCCCAAGCCAAGGGGCAGACTTGTGTCGCAGGTCAGGACAATCAGGCACTCCCTCTATGGGATGAAAACCTTAAACAAATGGCATTCTCTTTACCAGAGCAGCAGCACCCTAACCACACTCTCCTTGCAAGACAAACATTCCCAATTGTTCCCCTTTCTGGCCTTCCCCAGCCAGCTTGATTCCATCCCATTTCCCAGTGCTCCAGGCTCCCATGGGCTCTGGGATCACACATCATCTTTCCAGTTTATTTCCTTTTGCCTGAGGAAGCCGAAGTTAGCTTCTGGGGCTTATGGCCAGAGACCCCTGACACTGACTAATGGAAAATAGGGGGCTCTGGATCCACAGCTGCAGGGAGAGGGCGTTCTAAGCTGTACCCTAGTCCCGCAGAAGGAAGGTCTGAATACTGGGGAACCCTAAAAGGCATTGCAAATCCTTAACATGACCATCAAAGCCATACAGGATCTTGGCCCTGCACCTCTCTGGCCAACATCCCACCACTGTCCACTTTGTTCACACCACACCGGCCCCACAGGCGTCCGTGCTATTTGTCACTGCAACTGGACACACTCCCTCCTCCAGGCCTTTGCATTTGCTGTTCCCTGGACCCAATTGCTCTTTCTCCAGAAAACCCCGTGGCCTAGTCCTTTTCCTCTTCGCTCAAATGTCACCGGCTCAGTGGAGCCTCCCTCAACTACCCTTCTTCAGAATACGATCCCTACAGGTCTGGGTCCTCTCTGTCCCCCACCCCCCCGCCTACTTAATTTTTCTTCAGTACTTTTCCAGCATTTTTCCAGCATGTTCTGTACTTTGCTTATGTATTTTGTTGTCCATCTCCTAAGCTCCATGAGGGCAGAGCTCTTTGTCTGTCTTGCTCACTTAGAAATCTCTAGCACAGTGACTCGGCACACAGTAGGTGCTCAATAAATGTTTACCTGAGTTGCATTCTGGCTGGATACAGTTAGAGACTTGGGGTGATCAGGAGCTCTTAATGGAACAAGCCTTTTCCCACAGAGCCCACTGCCTGCTCAAGCCTAGAGATGGCTGCCAAGTGCTTGCTGCTGGGGCCAGATGCCTGGGAAAACCCTACTTCCCCAGCGACCTGCATGTGGAGGAGGGAACCACTTAAGTACCAGCCTCTCCTGGATGGAGAGCCAGTACATTATCTTGGAATATCTTGGAAGACTCTTTTTTTTTTGAAGACGGAGTCTTGCTCTGCTGTCCAGGCTGGAGTGCAGTGGCATGATCTCAGCTCACTGCAACCTCTGCCTCCTGCATTCAAGAGATTCCCCTGCCTCGACCTCCTGAGTAGCTCAAATTACAGGCACACACCACCACGTCCAGCTAATTTTTGTATTTGTATTTTTTATTTTTTGAGATGAAGTCTCTGTCGCCCAGGCTGGAGTGCAGTGGCGAGATGTTGGCTCACTGCAACCTCAACTTCCTGAGTTCGAGTGATTCTCTGCCTCAGCTTCCCCAGTAGCTGGGATTACAGGAACACATTATCATTCCCGGCTAATTTTTGTATTTTTTGTAGAGACAGGGTTTCACCATCTTGGCCAGGCTGGTCTCGAACTCCTGACCTCAGGTGATCCAGCCACCTTGGCTTCCCAAAGTGCTAGGATTACAGGCGTGAACCACAACGTCTGACGTAATTTTTGTATTTTTTAGTAAAGACGGGGTTTCACCATGTTGGCCAGGCTGGTCTTGAGCTCCTGACCTCAAGTGATCCGCCCGCCTCGGCCTCCCAAAGTGCTAGGATTAGAGGCGTGAGCCACCGCGCCGGCTGGCAGACTCTCAATAATGACAATTAACAGTAACAGTAACAGTGGCAAGCATTTATGGGCCTTTCCCCCTGGGTCTGTATTAAGGGATTCACATCCAATATCTTACTTGAGTCTCAGATCGTTCTGAGACCCATGATGCCCATTTTAGACAACATCATACCAATTTTTTTTTTTTTTTTTTTTTTTTTTTGAGACAGAGTCTTGCTCTGTCACCAGGCTGGGGTGCAGTGACACGATCTCCGCTCACTGCCTCCTCCGCCTCCCGGGTTCAAGCGATTCTCCTGCCTCAGCCTCCCAAGTAGCTGAGGTGCCCACCACCACCCCTGGCTAATTTTTGTATTTTTAGTAGAGACAGGTTTCGCCATGTTAGCCAGGCTGGTCTCGAACTCCCGACCTTGTGATCCGCCCGCCTCCGCATCCCAAAGTGCTGGGATTACAGGCGTGAGCCACCGCACCTGGCCTATACCCATTTTAAAGATGAGAAAACAGGCTTGGAGAATGTCGGTAGTAGCCCCACCATCTCCTACCGCTTCTGGGAACCAGGCCCACAGAGGAGAGCTCATGAAGGGCGCTTTCCTTCCCCACCCCAGGGAAGCGGGAGGGACACGGGCGCTGGCCTGGAGGGTGGGGGGAGCCTGAAAGGCCAGGGCGCTGGGTGCGCGGAAGCGAGCTTGCGCGCTCGGCGCGGAGGCTCCTGGCGCAGGCGACCCGCCTGCCCCGCCGCGCGGTGGCTTTCCGGAGGGGTGGGGCGGCCGCGGCGGGTCCTGACGTCGGGCGCCCTCCGGCCGTCAATCAGCGCTCGGCCCCGCCCCGCCGCGGCTGCAGCGGCGGCGCCGAGGCCGGAGGAGCAGCCGTCGCCCCCACCTCCCGGGACTCGGAACTCAGCGGCTCGGAGCCATGGCCTCGGCCACCGCGGGTAAGGGGCTGCGGGACACGGGGGCGGCGGGAGGGCAGCCCCGACCCCCGCGCCCACCCTTCGGCTGACCCGCGGCTCTCGCGTCCTGTCCCACAGAGGCGGAGACCCGGCAGAGGCTGCTACGCACCGTCAAGAAGGAGGTGGGTGCCGGGGTGGGGCGCAGGGCAGGACCCCCCCCCCCCGGGCAGGGGGCAGCAGCAGCCAAGCTGGGGGGGCGGGGAGGAAGAGTCTCCGTGGAAGGGTGGCCTCTGGCGGTGGAAGGGCGGCCAAACCTGGTGTGGGGCTCACCTGGGTGGGCATCGACCTCCCGCAGGGCTGGAGGAGCAGCGAGGGAGTTTGGGGGTGGGCGTAGGTATGGAGGGGGCTTTGGCTGTTTGGGGGCTGTGTGTGGGGGTGGATGCAGTGTGACGGCCCTCAGGTGTCCCAGTAGGACCTCCTCTTGTGGAGGAGCAGGTGGGTGCGGCTGAGGGAGGGGACCTTCCAAGAGAGACAAGCTGCTGGGGGGACCCCCCCCACAGGGTGTGCTGGGGGAGGGGGTCTGAATAGGGCTGCCAAAGGTGGGGTACGCTCCAGGAAAAGGGAGAGGTTCGATTTGGGAAAATAAAGCTTCCCTCCTCAGCCTCCAAATTCTCAGTCCTTGGAGCCACCTCCAGGAGCCAGGAGACTCCCTCCCTGAGAGTCCCGGGTGAGTGAGCTGCTCCCTTGGCAGTAGGGGTCCCCTAACCCCCACCCCCACCACACACACTCAGAGGGTGAGAATCAGAGAGATTCTTCTGCCCCTCCACTCTCCCTGGGGTCAGCGGGGAGACCAGTCTAGTCTTTAGGGCTAATGGCCAGTGACCTCCCAGAACCCCATAGATAGGGAGAATTTATAGTCCTTGGGGCCTGGGGTGGCATTTTGTCGCCTGGACTGTGTGCTCTGGTGTGTACGCCTCCGTGGGTGAGGACCTGTGGCTGTGAGTGTGGCATATGAGAATGTGCGTCTGTCTGGAGATATCTAAGCATCTCTCTTAGCATTGTGTGTACACATATCTATGTGTGTCTGTGTGTAGATCTGTTTTTGTGAGGATGCGTCTGTGTGTGTGTATTGTGTGATGCATGAGTCTGTGTGAATAAGTGATGCTGTGACTGTACGTGTGTATCTTGAGTGGGTGTGTGGCATGTGATGCATGAGTCTGTGAATAATGAGGGCTGTGACTCCATGTGTGTGTGTGTGTGTGTTGCTCTCCCCATTCTCCAGCCTCAGGCCCCATGGCCGCTGTGTCTTCATCACTTTTAAACCTTATGAGTGCTTAGCCCAAGACCGTGCGTGGCAGCAGACCTTGTGGGCTGGCCTGGTTTCAGGGCCTGGCTTTGAGTGTCTGTGTGTGTATGTGTGTGTGTGTGTGTGTGTGTCTGTGTGTGTGTGTGTGTGTGTGTGTGTGTGTGTGTGTTGGGGTGTCGGCTGAGGTGGCAGCATCAAGCAGCACTGATGACCCCTCCTTCCCTGCCCAGTGGCAGGCAGCCACCGAGGGCAGCCTGGAGGCTTGGACCTGTTGCTGCCCTCCCTCCTCGGGGAGCATGAGTATGTGTCTGTGCGTGTGTGTCTCTGTGTGTGGCATGTCCTATTTTGTTTAAAGAATCAGCTCCAGGGATGGTTGCACATTCTAGCATTTTCAAATGAGACACACAAAATACATTGGATCCCTCAGAAAGGCCCGGAAGTTTTCAGCTGAGCCCCTGTATAGACCCCTGTGGGTACTCCAAAGGAGCTCTGTTTAGACCCTCTTTTCAACAGAACTCACAGACCAACAACATTCTCATGACTATTTCCAGGGGAGGGGCATGTGCCTTACAAAACACCTGCTGTCTTTTTGTTCATGGTTTAACCAGACCCACGTGTAATATGTGCCCCCAAGATGTTTTTACCTGGAGTAGCTTTGTTTTTATTTATTTGTTTATTTTATTATTTTTAAAAAAATCTTTCTCCTGAAAAGCGATCACATCACAGGTAGCTTTGTTTTTAGGCGATGGTTGGTTGAATTGGGTTGTGGGGGGTGCAGGCAGAAGAGAACACCAGTAAACATCTATCTGGAGAAGGCTGTAGCTGAGGCCCAGGTCCCAGCTCAGCTCCCAGCTTGAGCTCCGTTTCCTGCACAGGTCCCTTCTTCTCTCCAGGACTCAGTTTCTCGATGTGCAGAAGGATGCATTGGTACCGACGTCCTTTGAGGTTTGATCTGTGTCAGTCTAGTTTGGGTCTTGGGCTCAGAAAGGGTGGATAACTTGCCCAAGATCATCCAGCCAAGATGGGACAGAGCTGGGACTTACCCCCCAGGTCTTTTTGATGTCACAGCCACACTCTGACCCTCCCATCCCACACACATGCTCACTCAAATGCACACGGTGCCACGCCTTGGACAGAATGTGTGGGTGGTACAGTTTCCATTGAACAGATGAGAACACTGTAGCCTGGAGACAATAAGTGATGTTTCTTTTATTTATTTATTTATTTCCTTTGAGACAGAATTTGTCTCTATCACCAGGCTGGAGTGCAGTGGCGCGACCTCTGCTCACTGCAACCTCTGCCTCCCGGGTTCAAGCAATTCTCCTGCCTCAGTCTGCCGAGCAGCTGGGACTACGGGGGCCCACCACCACTCCCAGCTAATTTTTGTATTTTTAGTAGAGACAGGGTTTCACCATGTTGGCCAGGCTGGTCTCAATCTTCTGACCTCATGATCCACCCGCCTCAGCGTCCCAAAGTGCTGGGATTACAGGCATGAGCCACCATGCCTGGCCAATAAGTGATTATTTCAAGGGCACAGAACCAGTGCAGGGGGCAGGCTCCAGTCTTCTGTCTTGGAGCTCCTTTTCAGCATAGGTACCCTAAGAAGATGGCAGCCACTCTGTGCCCCACCCAAAGCATGTCTCTCCTGTCCTTTCCTTACCTCTTTGGGGGGACATCTCTCTCAGTGTCAGAGAGCCAGTCTCCAGTGGAATAGAAGGGAAAGCTCTTTGCCTAGAAATCTGAGTCAAGTCAGGTCTTCCTTCTCCTGCGTTTGGAGGAGCCACATCTCTACCTGTCGCAGCTCACCCAGACACTGCATTGTGTGTACTCATATCTATGTGTATATCTGTTTTCTGTGTGTTTATCTGTTTTCCCAGCCTTCTTTCTAGAAGGGTTGCCCTAACAATCAACACCTCTAGATAGGCTGGGCAGCTCTGCAAGCTTCGCTAAAGGTGCAGCCACCAAGGGGCCAGCAGAGGTTGGGAGCTGGAAACTGTCCAGTGCTGACCTGGGGAGCCAGTAGGACCCGGCACCCATGAGGCAGGTCAAGAAGGAACTTTGGGATCAGCTGGAGCTGAATTCCAATCCCAGATGCATATTTACTGAGGGCTGTGTGCCAGACCCTGCGCTAGGTTCTGTGGATATAGCAGGGGCAGGCTCCCTTGTAAACAGGCTGCATCCCTGTCCTTCTGGGGCTGATCTTGCAGTGGTAGAAACAGACCCCCAACAGATACTTGATCATAATTACAAGGATAATTACAGGCTGTGCACAGAGATGTGAAGGAGGGGCACCCAGGGCTGCGAGAACACAAAACAGGGAGAACTGACCATGTGCAGGGGCCCTGGATGTGCCGCTTCAGAAGGCGGGTGAAAGATGAGCACGACTTTCAGGTGAAGATATGGGGGTTGGGAGAGACTAGGGAAAACCATTCCTGGCAGAGGGATTTATCCATGCAGAAGCTTTGTGGCTGGAGGGAGCACTGTGAACTTGAAGGAACTGAAGTGACTGGAGCAGAGAGAAAGGAGAAAGGTGCAGAGGCAGAGAAGGCAGAGCATGGGGCCTTATCCCACAAGCAAGGGGAAAGGAATGGGGAGGACACCACAAACAGGGAGAGAAGGTGAGGGAGATGAAATTGATGTTCACTGCACAATCTTGGACAAGATCTGTCTTTACCTTTATCAGTGTGTGGGTTTTGGTTTATTCATGATGGGGATGAAAATGATTCAGCTGGCAGGATAAACCCTTCGAGAACACCCACCACATTAGCCTGAGCTCCTCCAGGGCAAGCGTTCTTCCCCCCGACCCCCCTGGCTCTGTCCTTGGTGCCACCAAGAGAAAGCTGGAAATAAGGTGACCTCAGCTGCAAACAAGGCGGCCTCAGCGTGATTTCCTCCAGTTAAATCCCACCAGCTCTGTCTTGGCTCCTTCCTGGCTTGCTTTACCCTCCCTGCCACCCCTTAATTTTGTTTTGGTTCCCTGAGCGAGCAAGGACTGGCTTCTCGTTGCCGTGACAACCGCCATTAAGGGAGCCAGCCATGTGATGCCAGTTGATAATGCAAGTAAAGTGACTAACTGCCTTGTTTTTCTGCCTCTGGGCTGGGCCTAGACAGCCTCTTAATTGGAGGGACGAATGCAGGGGCTGGTAGGAGGCAGACGAGACCCCAGGAAGGAGACAGGGTGATGAGGCAGGTCCTGGAGGGGAAGCTACATTTAGCTCTGCAGACTGGAACTGGTGGAGGGGCTGTAATTGTGGAGCCACCGTCACAGCTGCTGAGCAGAGCGTTGGAGAACTGAGCCTCCCAGCCTCTGGGTTAGGGGCAGTGAGATGGGAGAGGAAGGCAGGACTCGCTAAGAAGTTTGGAGAAAAATGAGAAGCGATTGCTGTTACCATGGGGACCCTGCCGTTTGACCCTGTGGTTCCTAATGAAGGGGAGCAATTTTCTCTCCCATCCCTAGGTTGGCCAGATAACATCCAGGTCGCCCAGTTAAATCTGACTTTCAGATAAACAGTGAGTAAGTTTTTAGTATGAGTATATATTGCTAAATCTGGCAGCCCTACTCCAGGGGACATTTGGCAATGTCTGGAAATATTTTTGGTTGTCACAGTTGGGGGTGCTACCGGCATCTAGTGGGAAGAGGCCAGGGATGCTGCTCACGTTCCTGCAAGACACCCCCTCAGCCCACCACCAGCAGCAGCACAAAGAAGTGGCCAGCTCAGAATGGCAATGCTGTTAAGGCAGGGAAATCTTCTCCCCCGACCCTGCCCATACTGCACCCACCTTGCCCTTCACTTCTCTAGGCTGGGCTGATATAAATGTCATATTATTTTTGTTTATTTTTTTGAGACGGAGTCTCGCTCTGTCACCAGACTGGAG